GTCCCGCGGGAGGTCTAGTCATAAAGCATGTGCAATTCGCTCGGGGTTTAACACACCAGACTATCGATCTGCCTCATAACTAACAGTTATTTACTGTCAGGTTATCTGAATTATTAAAACTAAAAATATTATTTTTAAAAATAAATTTACTCCAAAAAAAAAAAATAAAATACTAAACGTTAAAATTTATCATTTCAGACTTGAGACCGCTGTCATTACTCACCTTCATTACACCTCATTATTATATTCGTGAGTGTGTGATGTACATAACATAACAAGAAAAAAAATATATAATAGTGAAAAAAAATGTTATGTATGAATCGTGACTGGATTTCGCGAGTAATCGCGATGATCCTCGATCCACTATGCAATATCATACACTATTGGCTTATCTGTTAATCTTTAAAGCCGTTTGATGTGACTACGAGTATGTTTATTTATTATTTTTATTTTATATTTTATATTTATTATGAACGACGTAGTGGATAGAAGTTGGACGCGGTTAGTTCTAGAGACTACAAACCGCGATCATGCGCCAAGAATAATGTCTTTTGTTCAATAGATATCGATGGACAATCAGATCCCAGAGTAGAGTGGACCTAAAAATTATTTTTATTATTATTTTACTCAAGCTATTGTTATTTTTTAACCACATTGTCTCGATACTTTACGGGGATTTTTTTTAACTGGTGTCTCTTTATACTATGCCTGCTGCTGATACAATAAGAGTTATTTTGTTGGTTGCTGTTATGTTCTGTGTATTGTTTAAATCGGTCACGAAATAAATAACGCTCGTAAAACGGCGATAAAGTAGTTTCTAACTAAATGAATCATCACGTGGCCGACGTTGTTGATTTTTTTTATTGTTTCAATCTCGTGTATTTTTAATTCTATTTTTATCAGCTGTTTTAACACAATTTCTTGTTTTTAATTAGTCCAGATAGAGATAATAAATATTCTAAATAATCAATAGTTATTTGCCGGTAATTAAATTTATTTCGGCTTAATTGAGGGCGTTAAGTAGTTATTAATTCGTTAAATATTTTTGCATTGTCGCATATGGTAATTTAGTAGCGTATGCTTTTTTTTTGATACACACTGCGTTGCTCTTGGTTACGAGACACGGTCGAGCGCCCACAACTGCGTCCGATAACGGAGATAAGAATGAATTATCGTTTGGTGCTGCGGCGTGACCTTGTATTAAATGTTACGCAAGTTCCCGCTTTTAAAGTACTGACTACTTTTGGCATATTTTTTTTTTTTATTAAACTTTTAAATCGACAGTTATTTCTTTAACGGTTACGTAAATCCTTCTAATTTATTCGTATACACGAATTTTAGCCGTCAGTCATTATAACTTTTAACAGATTTTATTTTTTTAAATTAATATAAAAAAAAAAATTATTACTCGCGCTTTATCACTATATTAAAAGTTTATAATTAATTAAAATATTTAATATTAATTTTTTTGGAGTAAAGTTTCAAGCTAGAGAAAAGTTGCAATAAACTGCAATTTTTTAAATGATAAAAAGAGATTATGTTATCTATTTATTTTTAAAATTATAATTTCAAACGTTTAATTATTCCGAGTCATGCTAATAAATATTTTAATTTATTATTTATAATTATAATATTTATTCATTTTTAAATTTTATATTTTTGAATTAGAATTATTTTGTTGCGTAATTGAACTAAAAAATAAAATAGACGTCAGTTTGTTGGTTTTACTCCATCTGCAATGGACTTGCTTTAGAATTAGTTAATTATACAGCTCGGTTGTTTAATCCAGCCTGTAATTACACAACAAATTGTTTCAATCTCCAGCCAGCAAACATAAATTGTATTTTTAAATTTTTGAAGGGAAAAAATTTTAATTGAAATTTAAACTTTTATTATCTACAATTTTTGCTTAAAAAATATTGAAATATTAAGCGATAAAAATATTTGCTAGGTCGAGTTGACACGCGACTGCTGAAAGTTACTACGGTAGCGCAGTAGACACTTGATATTGACAATTTAAATTTTTTATGTCAGTAGAGCATGGAAAAAAAACTAATAGTTAATAAAAATTAATGTGAGTCAATAAATCAATATTTAAATAATGTTAATTAATCTTAAAACTGTCAATAATTTTTAGCGAAAGCATATTAGTTAAATCCGATTAAATATTATATATCCGGAGGGATTGACGTGTATTCAATACCGGGTAGGTTTTACGAACTCGGTAAACTTTACCCGAAGGCGAATATTTATTCGCTTTATAATTTAAATTTTATTTTATTGATTTAAAGTCTTAATTTTTTGAGCGTATTTATTTATTCGACGGCAATCACTTACTTCCGTTACTCCTTACTTGCTATATAGCTCCCCTCGATACTACAGACTAGTTGTGCCAATACAACGTTAACGCACTACCGTCGAATTCGGTCAATGGGTTAATAAAGCTGTCGGAACCACCGCAGAATCTCCTCAGAGGCATTACAGCCTGCCTAAACTTTTAGAGTTTATTTTTTATATTATTTTAATTATGGAGTAAGATTTTTAGGATAAAAAATTTTTATAAAAATCAAAGGTGCAAATAATTGATATTTAGAAATTTTAATAAATTAAAAATGCAATTTTTTTAAATTTATTTTTTGGAGTAAATTTGTTTGTTAAACAAATTAAAAGAATGATCAAGTGACAGCTAACTTTAATAAAAATTAATTTAGCAGATATTTAATAATTTTTGTATCAAATAAATTACGGAAAAAAAAATTTACATGTAGAAATTTAAAAAAATTAAAACTGCAAATTTCAGAAAATAATTTTTTAGAACAAATTTGTTTGTTAAAAAAAATTAAAAAATGGTCAAGTGACATCTAACTTTAATACCATAAAATATGACATTAAATTTAGCTGTCACTTCACAATTTTTTTTAATAAATAAATTATGGCAAAAAAAAATTATTAAAAAAATGGACTTAAAATAAAAATTTTAATAAATTAAAAATGCAATTTTTTAAAAATAATTTTTTAGAACAAGTTTTTTTGTTAGAAAAAATTAAAAAATGATTAAATGACGGCTAACTTTAATACCATAAATTTTTTTAAGTTTAAAATGATAATAAATTTATTTCAATTAATTTTTTAAAAATCTAAGCTTCAGAATTTTTATTTTTAGCCCTCCAGCTAGTGAGCAGCGCAAAGCGAAATGTAGAATTATTTTTTAAAAGAAGCAAGTTGGGATGAGAATCGGACCTTTGTAACAAAACTAGAGTGCAGTATATATATATCGATAACACCAACGTAGTCCACTTCCCCTTGATAGTTAGTTGAAGGTCAAGGTTTTCCACCCCGCGAGTTACCCGGGATGGCCGGGAGGCAGCACGAGCGAATGCGACCGCGAGTGCGCGAGCAAAGCGCCAGGGGGATGTATAATAACAATAGTAATCTAGTGGGTGGAGGCGTGGGATGAGGATGAGGATGAGGATAAAGATGAGGATGCGAGGGATGAAAGGGAGGATTGAGTGAGTGGGCGTTCGACGTTAGATTGTAGGCCGGGGGACGGATTCGTCGGTACCCGGTTGAGGGATAACGGGGGTGTACCATGAGAACCCGGTGCCCAGTATTTATAGCGCCAGCCAACCGGTCGATAACGGATACAGCCACTGCGCAGTTCTGATACACTGAATATCCCGCGCACTCTCACTCACTTTGTTATTACTATTATTATTATCATTATATCTTTCATTTTCACTCCATGCTCTATATAAACTTTAACTCTTACTCTATATAAATTGGTTGTCCCTGAAAATTTTCCACCTCTATTTTTACGATCCTAGATGAAGAATACCTCTCGCATTCTCCGCTGGTTAAAAAAAAGATTAAATTTTTTTTTTTTTAAATCCCGCTGAGACTTTTATTTTATTTAAAATTTTTATTCTCTCTTCTACTCTTTTTACTCATACAGTAAATGCTTGACATTGCATTTAATTCACCCGAGTTATTTATTTTCATTTATCTACCCAAAGTTTTTAAATAATTTACCGTACACGTGTCGCTAAAAACCTTCAAGTATTATTATTATTAAATAAAATAATTATTTCCGTGCAATATTTTTTTCTTATCGACAAATTATTATTATCATTATTATTACTATTATTATTATTACAATTACGAGTATGGGATATTGAGTAATAGGAATAGTTAGAGGGGTAAGTGCATCAGTAGTTCCCTCTACGTCCTCCTACCCTTTAAGTTGTCCGGCGTGCGCCGTCTCTCCCAAGGGTTGCGGGTGTGCGTGGGCGAACATTTCACTCCGGGTGGGAGGACCCGGTCCCGAGGAAATACTCAACCGCGAGGCAGCTGTAGATACTCGTCACAATGTTCATAATCGTGACTTATCGTTTGGTTGCTCTGTTAAAATTCAAACATTAAAATTAAATATAAATAAAAAAAAGTAAATTATTAGCACTGGCATTATTAATTATCACCGAGGATAATTATGCAGCCGTGTACATACTGTCCGTTCAGCAGAGTTAGTTCTTGTGCAGCCTCAAGGTCACCTAAGTAACATATGGTCAGTCGTATAATATTATTTCCATTAAAACATATATTTTTTATCGCTTAATTTATTGTAATTATACTTTTAAGTGTTATACTTTTTTAAGTATCGCCCGGTTTTATATTTTTTTCCTCAAATATAATTTATATATTATATATTAAGAACTTACGTCATTTGACTACGTGGACTAGCCTGGGTATATACCAATAAAATAATATATATTTTTTATTACTTAAAACTCCCGAGTAAAAATTCATTTACATACCAATAACAATAATTGAAACAACAGCAATTATTTAAATTGCACAATAAATAACTGGAAAATGAATATAATTCTAAATGACTCATCAGTTTAAATAAAATAATAATATTTTAACTTTTATGCATTGGTGCTTAAGAAAAAAATAATAATTCGTCTTTCAGTGATCATTAAATGTAAATACAAGTCATTAATATGTCACGTATTTTTTTTTTCTATTTGTTACAGTCAGTCGTCTGCACTGTGAATCTGAGTCCTTTAAGATGGACCTCATTCTCGACATCAACAGCTGGCTCTATCCAATGGAACTCGGTGAGTCATATATTCTTCTATATCTACTTTTCTATTCGCCGTCTTATTCATCTTGGTGAATTAACACATTTAAAATAATATTTTAAATAGCAAATTAATAAATAATCTGTGAGTAAACATTTTATTTTATTTAAAAAAAAAAAATATTTAACACAGTAAAAAATTTTACTTCAAAAAATTTTTATATTAAATATTTAACACTTTTTTGTCTTGATTTAGCATAACAAATTTTTAATTTATACATAAAGAAAAGTGTTAAATATTTAACACAAAAATTACTATTTTTTAGTAATGATCTATAATTTTATTTTAAAATTAAAAAATATTGATTTTTATAACTAATCGCATATACAGTAAAAAATTTTGTTTAAAAAATGTTTTGTTAAATATTTAACATTTATTTGTGCTGATTTAACAGAATAAATGTTAAATTTATAGATAAAAGTGTTAAATATTTAATACTAAATTTTTTTACGCAAAATTTTTTACTGTGCAATTATTAACTCCAAAATAAATGAATTATTAAATCGACCTTCGATAATTATCTCTATTAACAAATTGTTAAATAATTACTCGCATTAAGAACGAAGGTTAAAATAATATTACCTTAGATAGCATAAACCAGTCACTTTAATAAATACTAGTGATATTATTAGTCTACACAAATAAAAATTTATACAATACTAGCCGGCTTATATTTTAAAACGTCGTAATGTTTGTTTACACCTTTGATGACGATTTCCATGCGGAAATTAACGATCGATAGTCTTACGATGTCATATCACTACTGGTCATCTCATATGTCACCACGTGCTCATTACCCTGCATGTTAGTCTCCCAATTACAGTCATAATACGTTAGTCACTCGCCTAGAGGCACCTTAAATTAATTAATTCATTAACTATAGATAAATACAATTAAATTCATAACAATTAAATTTTTTAGACGTAAAATATAACAATTACCTCACAGTCAAGGTCGCCGGGAGCTTGTGTGCTTGATAGTTAAGCTGCACGCGATAACTCTCCTTGTATATACAAAATATAAAAAATAGCTGTATATACTACACTAAGACTCTCATATTAATTCATACACACATATATTTTTACATGGTATTTTTATGGGCTATATATTGTGTGCAAGACTCGAAAACAGTCACGCGGTGTTTTTATTTTTCCCCTACGCAGATAGGAATCCAAAGGCTTCTTCCGTCTACGTCGTATATATTAAAAAAATAGTGTATATAGCTGATAGCAGGTGTTACGTATTCTTCCGCGTATTTTTCCCCCTACTATATCGTGGTAAGAAACCCGTCCCCCATAGAACCATCGACCCAGTTCCTACCAAACCAACAACTACGTCTTCATTCATACAAATCACCGGTATTTCTTATCCTCTTTACTTCCCCTGGCTTGTTCTACGCAATTATTCTTTATATTTTTATATAAAAATACTGATTTTTTAATTTTCAGTTTAAAAATAATTTTTTAATTCTATTATTTTAGTGTTAAAAACAAAATTAAAATGTTTCATTGAAAAAAAACTCGTACGGCGTAGTTTTGTGTAAATGGAAGAGTTTTAATCTTGTTAATGTAACTCTTGGGATTTTAATTAGAAAAATTTAATTATTTTAATGGAAAATGTTTTTTTTTTTTTATTAAAATAATTACAATATTTATTGTGACTCATGAAGTTTTATTGTAAAATTCTTACGTAATGTAAAAGTTGTTTGTAAAAAATTTATTTTAATATTTTGGAGTATTTTTTTTTAATTTTGAGATTTTTTCTTTAAAATTAAATTTTTTACTGATTTAATCGAGACATCTCAAAATTATTTAAGTACTCAGACGCGTTTTAGAATAATTTAGGAAATCCTAGAAATAATGAATGACAAAATATCAAGGCATGACTTTCCATAAATTTTGAATAAAAAAAAAAAATTTTTATAAAAAGTTTGATATTGAAAAAAAAAAAGTTTTACTTTTATAAAAATGATTATATTAATTTATGATTAACGTAGCATACATCAATTAAAAAAATTATAATTTTTAATTTAATTTATGCGATAAAATTTCTCAATATCGTTATTTAAATAAAAAATTAATTAAAAATAAACTCATAAATTAATTAACAAAATAGCTTAGACAAACTCAAAAATTTCAAAATTTTTCAATATTAAATCCCAGATAAATTAAAAACAAATACATAAATCCCTAATTAACACTTGTAATTGAATTAAAAAAATTTTAATATAAAACATTATCAATCACTCTAAAATAATTAAAAAAATCAATTAATCCCCCGGTTCCACCCACGTCTTCAGAAACCCGTTTAGCGTTTTGAGTATTAAGAAAAGTGTACATAATAGAGTATATATACATAAACATATCTGGTATCTACATATACCCAACAAATGCACGATACGATGGGCAAAACGACGAAGGTTATAAAGTCATGGGCTAGGCCGCTGTATTGACGCGTGGCGGTTCAGGCTTGCGCGAGGTGACGCAACCCTTTCCTCACTCTCCTCTTACCCCTGGCCAACATCCCTACTCAAGGAGATGCACACCAGCAGAGCGTGTTCCCTGCACACACACGGTGCCGACTTGCTCACAACTATCCGCCCCCACCAGGCGCGCCTCTAACCGCGTATAACTACCCGCTACCCGTGCCGTGGGCTCTTCTCTCCCGCTACCGCAAGTTCAATGCCAAGGTCAAAGCTGGTACGACTCGCTGCTGGCCACTAGAGTCGCTCCGGCCTCCGGCTCGCTCTCTCAAACCGCGCTAGTTATTTTCTTCTTCATAATATAATAACACATATAATATAATACTACTTATATTACTTCATATGTACGTGAGTCGATACAATATTTATTTATACTACTTACTTTACTTTCAATTCATTTATTTCTTCTTTTTTATTTTATTTCTTCTTTTAATTAATCAAGTTTATTTTTTTAATTATCTCTCATTTTAATTAATGTCATTTTTTTATAAATTTTATTCATTTCTTCTTTTAATTAATCAAATTTAATTTTTTCAATTCTTTGCAAATTAAATTAGCAATTTTTTAAAATATTTTCTTATTTATTTCTTCTTTTAATTAATTAATTTTTTAATTCTTTGTAAATTAAATTAGAAATTTTTTAAATATTTTATTATTTATTTCTTGTTTTAGTTAATAAAATTTATTTAAAAATTTTTTGTAAATTAAATTGTCATTTTTAAAAATTATTATTTTTGTGATTTAAATTAATGTTATATTTTTTAAAATTAATTTTAAGTTGCTTTAAAATAAAGAAGAAATATAAAAATACCTTTTTAAGATATAAATATTAAAAAAAAAACACTTGCAGTAGCAATTAAAATAAAAATTAAATTATCCATTTTTTAAATATTGTTATTTATTTCTTCTTTTAATTAATAAAATTTATTTAAAAATTTTTTGTGAATTAAATTGTCATTTTAAAAAATGATTATTTTTGTGATTTAAATTAATGTTATTTTTTTAAATTAATTTTTAGTTGCTCTAAAATAAAGAAGAAATATAAAAATACCCTTTTAAGATATAAATATCTAAAAAAAAAAGCACTTGCAGTAGCAATTAAAATAAAAATGTGGGAGGAAAAAACAGAGGGTAGTATTACCAAGGTCGTGACGTCCTTTAAATCGAATGACAGCAGTGCCGAGTTGTGTATGTATATAAAACGATCGATAGCTCGATGTCGTCGCTCATGTTCGGGTGAATTCGGTCCAGAGTCTGTTATGTATTCTGCGATATACATAGACATACATATCTAGTACAATCTCGTCATTGTCGTTGTCTTTTTCGCTATGCGATGTTAGCAATATTAGATATATGTACATAGATAGAATCCAATATAATGTACAATATTGTAAGCGACAGAGATATCTGTAAGCAGTGTCAAAGAGGGAGCGACGTGCGGTTACATTTAAGACTCACGCCATCAAACTGCGTCGTACATCTTTTGAATTTTCATAATAATTAGTATCTATAAAAAAAATATGAGGTGATTTGATACGTGCTACAAGGAAATGAACAAGAAGATTATTCTTATCTTATTAATAATAACGACGTTAAAAATGAATTTGTCTTGAGAAATAGAATAAGTAAATGATTAGCAATAATTTATTTATAACACATGTTGCATAAATTCTATAATTTCATTCATTTCCTCAGCGGTATTAACGCCAAATGTTGCTTATAGTGTGTTTTATTAAGTATGTAACATAATATAAGTGGCTGGTCGCATATTCTGTGTATCTATTAGGTCTATATCTTCAGGAAATGTGAATGAGAGAACAAGAGTTGTTTGTTGGCAATAGAGCTCGAGATAAATACCCTCTTTTAGATGACATTACGTTTGTTTCTTTTTTTTTTTGAACTTACAAAGCAGCATTGTTTAGATCAACATATGTAATCCTTTTTAATTATAATTTTCTCAGATGTCAATTACAGTTTTGCGAAAAGATAAATTGTCAGTTCGCTGAAAATTAGATAACTTGTTAGGTAACTTTTCTTTTTTTTAATTTTATCTTTACTATTTTTTAGTAATGATCTATAATTTTATTTTAAAGTTTAAAAATTTTTAAATATCAATTTTTATAACTAATTTTATACACAGTAAAAAATTTTGCGTCAAAAAATTTTGTGTTATAAATTTTTTTATTAAATTTTTAACACTTTTTTTGTATTGATTTAACACACTGATAGAAGGATTTATTTATAGTTAAAAATATTTGTTAATATTTGAAAAATAATTTAATAGAGACCACTTTTTAGTCTTTAATAAATATTTCTTAGTATTTAAAAAGATTTTTTAATATTTAATAAATGAATATCAGATTTATTAAATACTAAGCAATATTTATAATATATATTAACAAATATTTTTTGGTAAAAATAAATCCTTATATCAGTGCAGAATTAATGTTAAATTTACACATAAAAGTTAAATATTTAATACAAAAATTTTTAACACTAAATTTTTTGACGCAATGACGTAAAATTTTTTACTGTCTAGTTTTTCAAGTTCAGAATTTTTCGCGTAAATTTTTATTTAAAAAATAAAAACTTTACATTCATATTTTATCCTATTATACTCCGTAGTTATTCGTCTCAGAGTTTTTTTTACAGTGACAATTCGGGATTGGAAGAGCGCCAAGAGATTCGAGTATACGTGAATCCGGAAAAACATCGACATCCTCCAATTCCCTTTTTTTTTTACGATCAATCACTCACTCTCTTGTTACTTTATTATTTTTAGTTTATACATTTCGCCCCGTCTTGACTCTTCAAACTTCAGTATCGGCTTTGCGATAAATTTATTTTTTAGTTTTATCTTTACGCCCCCATAAAAATATTAATGCTCTTTAGAATATATAAAAGTCCATTACTGCTATTAATTAAATATCGATTCAATTTAATGTCTTACTTTATAAGTAATAATTCAAGTTAAATAAAAATAAAACCGATATTAATAAAATATTTTATTTTCAGGTGATAAATTCCGGCTGGTGCTCGCAACCACCCTGAGAGAAGATGGATACCCCGATGGCGGTGATTGGAACGCTATTGAGCAAGAAGGAGGATCTAGAGCAGACAGTTTTGAATACGTAATGTCCGGGAAAGTTTACCGCATCGAAGGAGATGATCTCAGCAACGAGCCAGGCAGCCGGCTGTAAGTATCGGAAAACTTTTTAATAAATAATTAATAACTAATATAAACATCAATTAATTATTCAAACAAATCTTGGATCCTCCTGACTTATCGCGATTTGATTATATACTCGAGTGTCAATCACGATCAACCTTTGTATTTAACGGCTCATATTAATATATAATGTAATAACTCTTTATAAATATAAAGCGTAGATCACAAAACGTCTTTGCAGAACTTTGCTATAAAAGTTTAGCTGGTTTATGAAAACATCCGATGTAGGTCATGAATTAATCAATATATTTTATCAAGATTACGCTGGTGATAATCCTATCGAGTGACTAAAGTAATTGATTGAACCTTTTTATTCATTCAGATCTGCTTTAGATTACTTCTATATATCAGAAATTTTAAATTAAATAACAACAGCGATCAATAGGTAATTTTTTTTTTAAAGAGCGGTTGATAGTTAATTTTCAAACATGTTTTCTTCATGTATAAAATATAATTTCAAAAAAAATTATCTATGAAAAAAAAATTAACTTGATGCAAGAGAAAAATTTTTAAACCAAGAAAATAATTTTGAAGAGAGTAATTCTCTAGAATCAAGACAAAAAATTCTTGAATCAAGTAAAGTTTACTTAAACCAAGTAAAAATTTCTTATTTTTTAACTCAAATCAAGAAGATGTTCTTGAAAACTATGTACTTGATTCAAGAACATTTTTTTTTTCTTTATAGGTTCTCATCCATGTTTTACGAAATATTAGATAACAAATCTTGGGAACTTGGGCAATAATAATATGTTAAATTAAAAAAAAATGCAACGTTTCGTTAGCTTTACTTTCAACTTATTCAGAAGTTATAACTTCTTCTGAAGAAGTTGGAAATTGTTGGATTTTTTTTAAATTTAACATATTATTATTGTCCAAGTTCCCAAGATTTGTTATCTAATTTTTTGTTTCTGTGTATCAAAAAGCAAAGCGCTTTTCTTGAAAATTTTTATTTATTTATGTAAAAAATGGTTTTTAAGATTCCATTTGTTGTACAAGTATGACAGAGATATACTTCCATTTGACCAATAGAGGGCAAGAAAAAAGTGTAAACCCTTTAGAATGAATTATTTATTTTAAAAAAGTAAAAATTATAAATTAAATTTTTAATCAAATCCATCAATACCGGCTGCAAAATATATTTTACTGAAAAGAGGGCAGCACTCGACGGTGTCTAGGATTCCCGGGATTAAAAGAAAAATCTTTTAGTTTGAATCGACTATTTTGGTGATTCTGCCTATCAACCGTGCTAGTGAGTGATAAATTGAATTATTTAAAGAAGAAATAAAGTTAAAAAGAGTGAAATTGATTGTTTGGAGAATAAAATAATTGTTTGAATGAATTTAAATGGTCGCTATCGGAGAACAGGGAGCCACTCTGCGTTCACTCGGTAGGTAATGAAGCGGGTGAACACAGCTGGTGGTATCTCAGTTTTCCGAGTGCGTTATCAACGTTTTCGCTTGTATCGGCAGATATTAGTCCAATATTTTAAAATTAATAAAAAGAAGACTGAAGAATTAATATCAATTGTGATACTAATGAATATTTTCCTCGGCTGTCTGTTTGAAAATTGCTAATTAGCGGTACAGAGAAAGCTTAAAGCTTAACGAGTAAGCTGATCAAGAGCAGTTCATATAACAGAAACAAAAAAGAAAAAGCTTGGTAATGGATGTAAAATAAGAGCAAGAGGTGAGTGAAATGGGCGGGAGCTTTAAATAATCCAGGAACCCGTGGAGCGATGGTAGTTTACTGGTTGCAAGGATTTATGGGGGCGTGACAGCCGGTAATGAATTATTGATCAAGGACTCGATGGAATGTGCTGGTACTTTTGCTCCTGGCGTAGAGAAACAGGATGAATGTGGCTAATCCATGGCAACCCCTTTATGTGCTTGGACCTTCCGCCATCCTCGACACCGGATGGGAACCAATGGCAGCCCTACTTACGCAGTTCATACACTTTATCTCGAGCTACCAATCGCAGACCGTTTAATAACTTTAAACATCCAATTATCACGTTAATTAATTTTTAAAAAAAAGGAACAGAGAAGTTAGAGGCAACCACTCGAGAAAAAATATCCAGACGGTATTGTTGAGCGGAAGCGAGTCGAGTTATTTCTGAAAATAAACCACATGGAAAAAATATCTTTGTCAGTTGTTCGACGTTTATACAAAGTCGTTATCGCAACCCTGCAGTATTTTCTATTCAATTTATTTTTAGATATGTTATGTAATTATTCAAAGTCCGTTTAAATAATTGTCTTATTTAGTTACTTGTTATTGTTATTATTATAATTCATTGTTCTGTATTTTAAATTATGATTGTAACTGTTTGATGATAGGTAAAAATTTTGTTTATTCAGCGGGGATTAAATAGACACAATAACAAATTGTAAGAATGCAGTAAACGTTTAGTGTCAAAAGCACCTGAAATTTCTGGGAATCTTTACAATAAACTTGATCCGGATTTTAAATACGGTTTCTCTATTATTTTAATTCACTTCTCTAAAAATAGAATTCTATTCACGGCTTATCATTTTTTTTATGCCACAATCATTCGCTTCTATTTATTATAGATTAAATTTTACGGTTTTTACTATTATAGATAAAGTTTTACGCTAGACTTGATTCAGACATTTTTTAATTATTTTACTAAAAATTAGACACTCATAAAAACTTGTAATAAATTTAATTTAAATTATTCTTTCATTTTTGAATTTTTACTCAACAGTTACAACTTGTTGATTATTTTATCAGTTTAATAAATTAAAATTTTAGGTGAATATTTACAAGTGGGGTCAATAATTTAAATTTTTATTTTTTTAAAGGAAATTTCTATTTGATTTTATGGATTTTTTTTTAAGTACATAAAAAAATAAACAATTTTAAAAAAAAGTTAATTAGCACAATTTTCAAAATAATTTATTAATTTTTTAGAAAATTGTAATATTCAACTTTATTTTTGTACATAATTAAAAAAAAAAAAAAAAAAAAAAAAAAAAAAAAAAAAAAAATATAAAAAACATCAAAAAAAGATAAAATAGAAATTTTATCCAAAATTTTTTCAAATTTTTGAAGGCAAAAAAGTGATCAAAATCTTAATTTTTTTCTTTCAAAACATTTTTTATCATAAATGCGCCTTAAAAACAAGCAGAATATAAAAAAATTGAAAATGTTAATTTTTCACCTAATTATGGTCCAAAATGAAGTAGACCCCACTTGTAAATAATTACGAAATTCGGTAAATATTTAAAAGTAGGGTCAACCATTTTAATTTTCATTTTTTGAGCAAAATTTCTATTAGATTTTATTGATATATTTTTTTAAAACATTTTTTTCAACTTTCAAAGATGATTTTTCAATTGAAACATTAATTTTTTTATATTTTGCCGTAAAAACAAAAAATTTAAAAAAAAATTATGATGATCCATCAATTCATCAATTTTTTATGGCCAAAAATAGTTTTTACCCACTTGTAAATAATCACCAAATTTTAATTTAATAAAATAAATAATTATGACTATAAAAAATTGAAAATTACAATTAAAACAATTCGTACGTGCCTATGAATATAAAAAAGCTCAATTAAAGTTTAACAAAAATGCCCAGCCTAAAAAAAACATTGTATAGATCGAGCTTTTACCCTAATTTGGTTTGCCCAGTAAATTTAGGCTAAACAGATTCCCTTGAAGTGATATAACGTGAACTAGCAGTAAAAATCATGAAAAGTTAATCTTTAAAGGCCTAAGTGTAAGACCTAAGACGTTTACTGCTTATATCACCGGAGTAACGACAAAAAAGCTTAATTTAGAAGGGAAAAGCGTCTGAGCTTGGGTGTTTGAAGACAATGTAAGTGCATAGCAATATATAACACAAAGTAGAGAAATTTAGGTTACATCAGCTTAGTTTACCAACAGCTGAATCCTTTTAGCTCCAACTAGAGATGTTATGTGTTGGTTGAGTAGATTGTACGCTCTTGCTCTCAAACTCCTAGCCTCTTCACTTACACCCGTATTGTATCTGCTGTCATAATAATAACACATCCAAGCATCCACACGACTACATGTCTAACTCAACCTTTAATGTATCTACTCGTCACACAGTAATTGTAATAAAACAAAAGCTTTGAGATGAAATGAAATTCTTATCATTCTTCAGGCTTTTTATTGCCGCTTCTATCTAGACAAGCATTTTATTGTTTTAATTCGTCCTTGATTTTGTTCTTGATAGTTTAACTTTAAAAATTTATTTCTTTTTTAATAATAATAATAATAATAAAAGTTATTATAGCTGAAGTGTAAAAAAGTGGCAAATTCTTTTGGTTGAATAAATTCGATATCTACTTAAGCTTGAGCACACTCTGGAATAAGTTGTAGACAATTAACGTGCCTCATCGCCGGAAGGGGAGCGGTGTCCTTGTAACTCGATGGCTAGAGAGAGAATATCTGGCAAATCGGGTCAAGACCTTGGGAAAGAGGAAAAGTTATTTCCCTGTCTCGAGTTTTCTTTTCCGTGTTAATTTACTATTTTATTATTATTATTATTATTATTATTATTATTATGTTATATGCTACATTTATTTTATTTTTATTTTATTCTATTTAGTTAATTTACACACTCGTAAATGGAACAAGCTCTTTTTGCTCTGCACACCAAGATCTGCAGTGGGCGTTGAAAAAATAATAAATTGCTTCATTGATTTTTTACTCAATGCCGGAATTAACCGCATACATTTTTCTCTTTGTTTACGGTTCTAGTCTATTTTTTTAAGCTAAAATAATATGCCAGTGTAAATATTTCTGGTTTAAATTATCTCAAAATTTCGGAGTAAAAATTAAAAAAAAAAAAAACCACAAATAAATTATCTTTTATATTTCAGTGAAAAATAAATTTATAAGACTTTTTTTATAATAAAATTAAAATCCTTTCAATTTTAGTCCTAATATAAACAAACACCTGATGAATTTTTATCTTTTTTCAATTCAAATAATTTCCTGCTCAAAAAAATATCTACAAAATTAAACTAACAATTTTTTTTTAATTTCTATAAGCATTAAAATTTTTATAATGTGTATTATTAAGAGAATAAGCAAAATTTTTTGGTAAGTGTATTTATCTGATAAAATGGGTTGTTATGGTTAAATAACTTTGTATCTCGTAAACTAATGACATTTTTAAAGATATAAGCTCATCCCGATATTACATTCATCAAGAGCTTTCATTTGAGTACCCACATGCATTTCGATATATTTTTCATATATACATATATGTAATATATATAAATATATGAAAAATTGATGTGGGTACTTAAATGAAAGCTCTTGATGAGTGTAACATCGAGATGAGCTTATATCTTAAAAAATGTCAATAATTAAGAACTGACTTTGCTATCTTGTCAACTAATGATATTATTGAAGATATAAACTCACCCCTACATTACACTCATCGAGACTTTTTATTTGAGCTCTTGATGAGTGTAACATCGAGATGAGCTTATATCTTAAAAAATGTCAATAATTAAGAACTGACTTTGCTATCTTGTCAACTAATGATATTATTGAAGATATAAACTCACCCCTACATTACACTCATCGAGACTTTTTATTTGAGTACCCACATCAATTTTTCATATATTTATATATTTATATGTATTATATATATATGTATATATGAAAAATATATCAAAATGCATGTGGGTACTCAAATGAAAGGTCTTGATGAGTTTAACATCGGGATGAGCTTATATCTT